GGGAGGTGAGCAGAGCTGCAGGAGGGGGCAGAGACCCCCAGCATGGAGTCATTAGGAGTAATGAGCTCATTAACGGCACTGAGTGGGGCTCTGGGCTCTCCTCCTTCATCAGCTCTGGAGTCTGGGCTCTCCTCAGCCTCCTCCAATGGAAGCAGGTGCAGGGGTTGACCCCAGGTGGGCACAGCACCAGGATCAGGGCTCCAGGACCCCCAGCGTGGGGTCATTAGGAGTAATGAGCTCATTAACAGCACTGAGGGTGGCTCTGGGCTCTCTCCATCATTAGCCCTGGGCTCTGGGCTCTCCTCCAGCCTCCTCCAATGGAAGCAGGCCCAGGGGGCAGCCCTGGTGGGGACAGCACTAGGATCAGGGGTTCAGGACCCCCAGCATGGGCTCATTAGCTGTAATGAGCTCATTAACAGCACTGAGAGGGGCTCTGGGCTCTCTCCATCATTAGCCCTGGGCTCTCCTCCAGCCTCCCCCCAATAGAAGCAGGTGCAGGGATTGTCCCCAGGTGGGCACAGCACCAGGATCAGGGCTCCAGGACCCCCAGCGTGGGGTCATTAGGCATAATGAGCTCATTAACAGCACTGAGGGTGGCTCTGGGCTCTCTCCATCATCAGCCCTGGGCTCTCTCCATCATCAGCCCTGGGCTCTGAGCTCTCTCCATTATTAGCCCTGGGCTCTCTCCATCATTAGCCCTGGGCTCTCTCCATCACCAGCCCTGGGCTCTCTCCATCACCAGCCCTGGGCTCTCTCCATCATTAGCCCTGGGCTCTCTCCATCACCAGCCCTGGGCTCTCTCCATCATTAGCCCTGGGTTCTGGGCTCTCTCCATCACCAGCCCTGGGCTCTCTCCACCATCAGCCCTGGGCTCTGAGCTCTCTCCATTATTAGCACTGGGCTCTCTCCATCATTAGCCCTGGGCTCTCTCCACCATCAGCCCTGGGCTCCAGGCTTCCCTTCAGCCCCACAGTGTTGAACCTCAGGGTCGTCAGCCCTAACGAGCTCATTAGCAGGCGGCCGTACCTGGTGCGGGTTCCAGTCGCTGTCGAAGATGATGACGGTGTCGGCCGACTGCAGGTTGAGGCCCAGCCCGCCCGCCCTGGTGCTCAGCAGGAAGATGAAATACTCGGAGCCCGGCTCGTTGAACGTCTTCAGCAGCATCCCGCGATCCTCCGCCTTCGTGGTCCCTGCAACGCACGGCCGCGGTTCCGCGCTCAGCCAGCAGGGGGCGCTGCGGGAACGGCACGGGGTGGGGGGGGTGGAGGGAGTAAGGGGAGGGGAAGGGTCCTGGAAGGTCACAGAGTGATGAGATGG